CCCCTCCCTCTTTATCTGTGGATGGCATTAATTCGCATGATCCGATTGGAAGAATGGTGAACCAAATTTCCGATCCAATTTATATGTCCCTATTAGACATGGATTTTCGACTGAATTTCTCTCTTCATCTAAAGAGCTCTAGTTTATCACTTTTACTCCTTTCTTCCTCACCCAACCCTTTTTCTTTCCCTTTGCTGTGTAAAACTGTGTGTCGATGTTTGCTGACTCACAATTACTGCACTTTTATAAGTCTAATTTGTGCCATTATGTTTTGCAGGGATAATAAGGAGGGAAAGATGTTATTTTATCCGAGACAAAATCACGTAAGGACCAACAGGCAATTTTCAAATTTTATAGGCCGTTGATCATGTAATCAAGATTCATTCTAAATTTTTCTTTGTCAGGTCTTGGTTGTAAATGATGGTTGTCAAGCTCCAGTCCCTCAATTTTCTGGTCGACTGGGCTTATCTATTAAGGGATCAGTCTCTCCCCCACTGTCTGGTGTTGATATTAGAATTCTTGCTGGTGGAGACAGCCAAATAGCTCAGCTCAAGTATGGTGAATTAGTACTTGAAACTACTACTGGAGTTGATGGCTCTTTCGTTGCAGGGCCTCTGTATGATGACATAGATTACAATGTGGAGGCATCTAAGGTTTGAAATGATAACAGCGGATTTTGTTTTTTCTTTTCTAATTTTGACGTCAAATTTGTTAGGGTCATAGAATGGCCAGTATGAGTTGGATGAGTTTTAACTTTGGTTGCAAGATTTGATATTGTACAGTAGTTCCATGCAGGCATATTATTTGCTTTAGTTATTGCAATTGATTGTCTTTGTCGTTTGTCTTTTTCTATTGCAGCCTGGCTATTATTTAAAACAAGTCGGACCATATTCCTTTTCTTGTCAGAAGCTTAGTCAAATTTCTGTGCGCATATACTCAAAAGATGATGCTAAAGAACCTATTCCTTCTGTGCTTTTATCTTTGAGTGGCAACGATGGCTATAGAAACAACTCAGTGTCTGAGGCTGGTGGAGTGTTCCTTTTCAGTAACTTATTTCCTGGAACTTTCTATCTGCGTCCTCTGCTAAAGGTATCATTCTACAATCTACAGTGGTGTTTTAAATGATAACTCTTGCTGATTCTTTCTCCGTTTCTTTCCCCTCTCTTGGAAGTCCTTGTATCTGGATATCAAATTCAGGGTTATGTAAATTCTGAAAAAGTTCTGAGCTTATAAGATACTTCCTCATCTATCAGTATCTGTCATTTTATACTTCTCAGTTCGATGCACAAGTTCAAAAAAGTTCAGTCGTCAAGGTTTACCCATAATTTTAGGAGGAAAATGATGTTGTATCACTTGGTGAACCGTAAGTTATATTTAATTGCTCCACTCTGGGGTGTGTTTTGTTTTCGCAGGAATATGCTTTCTCTCCTCCAGCAGAAGCAATAGAACTTGGTTCTGGCGAGTCTAGAGAAGTTGTTTTTGAAGCCACTCGTGTGGCATACAGGTTCAGCCTCTTCCATTATTCTTTCCTATATTTTCAATTACTATGAATTTGCTATGGTCGAAGCAATTTGTAGGGTCTGATTTGACATTTTTTGTAATATAGTTTGCTCTATGCTCTCCCCCCCCTTGGATATATGAATTCCGTCAAATATTAATTTGCACATATGCTATTGTAGTGCTGATTCTTATCAATATTCTTTTTTTTTTTTACCTTTTTTATTCCACTTTTCATTATGTACTTCCAAACAGCATGTTCCGACTTACATCTTTATTTTGCTGATATAAAGCTTGATATGTTGCCTTGTCTTTATTTTCCCCTAGTGACGCATTTGTACTGTTGAATTTTTTCTTTGTTAGAGTAAACAATTCTCTGCAATGTTTGGTTCTGTTTTTTGTTTAAGAAGTTAAAATCTGGTTAACCTCCTTTCAGTGCCATGGGTGTTGTCACCCTTTTGTCGGGCCAACCAAAAGAAGGCGTGTCGGTTGAAGCCCGATCAGAGTCAAAAAGCTACTATGAGGAAACAGTGACGGATTCGTCTGGGAATTATCGTTTAAGAGGACTTCTTCCTGACACAAATTATGCCATCAAAGTTGTTAGAAAGGACGGTTTGGGAAGCAATAAATTGGAGCGTGCATCTCCTGAATCTACAAGTGTAAAGGTGGTTTTAACTATTTACCTTATCAAAAAAAAAAAGAAAAAAAATTCTGGACTCTTCATTTTTCTGGTCTTTCTGTATTAACTCTAAATTTGAGCGTGTTGGTTGTGCCTGTAGGTTGAATCTGTGGACATCAGGGGTTTGAATTTCCTCGTCTATGAACAGCCTGACACTACTATTTTAAGTTGCCACGTCGAAGGAAAGAGAAGAGAGGAATTGCAGTCGCATCTCTTGGTGGAAATTAAGTCATCTAGTGACTCGTCTAAAGTCGAATCTGTCTTCCCTCTGCCACTTTCCAACTTTTTCCAGGTGAAGGACTTGCCCAGGGGTAAGCACCTTCTTCAGCTCAAGTCTAGTCTTCCATCAGGCGCCTACAAATTTGAGTCCGAGGTTATCGAGGTCGATTTAGAGAAGCATTCCCAAATTCACGTTGGCCCATTAAGATACCTCATCGAAGAAGACCATCAGAAGCAGGTTTGTCTTCACTTTATTGTTACATAAACAGCTTTCAAAACAATTCCTGTGCACTTATATCTGCCATCACGGTACTTTTCCATGCCCTACAGGAGTTGACTGCAGCACCTGTATTTCCTCTTGTTGTCGGAATCTCAGTGATCGGCCTTTTTGTCAGCATGCCAAGGTATTTATCCATATGCTTTTATTCCCTTGCGAAGACATATTTTGCTTGGTTTTCAATTTCCGTGTCCCTGAATAAGGTATAATAATTATTTTTCATTTGTCACGTCTCATTAACAGGTTAAAGGATTTATACCAAACAGCTGTTGGAACACAAACGGCAGGGTTTAGCGCAACCGCGAAGAAAGAAGTGCGGAAACCAATTTTGAGAAAGAAGACTTACTGATCACCAAATTCTTCTTGCCCCATGTAGAAGGTAATCAAGACCAAGTTTTCGATCGGCACTTGAAGTTTTTAGGTGATTCTAACCTGGGGTAGACCATCAGTATCACAGTTAGGACATTTTTTCTCTCATTTTTCCTTTTGCGGATGTTGACATCTAGTTTTAGGACATATAAATCTTAAAACACCATACGACATTATTAAGATCATTGCTTGCTAACAGGGTCTTTTTTTTTCCCCCTAAATTCGTAATGAGTTTATGAATAAAAAATGGTTATTACATTTCATCTCCGTTAAGGGCGTTAATGATGCAAAGCAATGTAATGGTTTTTTTTTAATATATTTTTTTTAAGGGAAACTAGACTTTTATTAAGCAAGAGATGATAAATCCGCATGAATAAAATGGCTAATAAACTTTGGACACGAATCAAATCAAAGTTTATCAGACAAATAAGACAGACTATAAAAAGTTAACATGTAGGCTACAAAATTCTCAAAACGAGAAATATAGCAATTGAGTCATGAGATATAAAGAAATACTATGTTGAATATCACTAATAATAGTTGAATCCAGTGATTTGAAAGTGGGCTTTGGATTGCATGAACGTCTGATGCGTCTGATTCAATCACCCTTAATTCTAAAAGTCACGATTCTGAGCCAATAAAACCGCCACTCGCACAGCAAAACATTCGCGCACACAACCCCGCAATCTTAGGTCTCGTTCACTTCGTGGATTCGAGTTTTCAATTCGAATTGAGATGTGACATTTTCTGAGAGTTTTTTACTGTATTAGAAAAAGTTGATGTGACATTTTTTGAGAATTTTTTACTGTAGAAACTTAAAATTGAAAATTCGAATCGGTGAAATGAACGAGGTCTTAGAATGTCAATTAGCTAGTTTTTCTAATTGACATTTTTTCTCTCATGTTTCCTTTTGCGGATGTTGACATATAGTTTTTCTCATTTGATGGGTGATGTCAATTAGCTAAAGATTTATGTTATAAGATCATATATTTTCTTTTCCTAATGTTATTATATTGCAAAGAAATTGAAACTAGCATAGGCAACTACTTTCAATAAAATAGGAAAATTTGCTCCGTCGGTGTCAATTTGTGGGAAAAAAGGAAATATTTCTATGTTTTATCCTCGTATCTAGAAATGTAGTGAAATCATTTGAATTTGATTGGACACGAGAATGGACTAGATCTTTTGCTAAAATATCTTTCAAACAGTCTACATTATCCATTGCTTTCTAAACCCATATCTCTCTCCAAATTGTTTTCTTCCCCCTTGTCTCCATTCATCTCATCTTTTTTTTTTTTTTTCTTTCTAAGTATTTTTTCTTCAATGAATCTATTCCCTTCGTCTAGGATAAGATAAAACTCAAAAGATTCTGAGTTCTTCTCCATCGATATTTCTCTTTTAGCAAGCAGATTTGTCCTCTGCACGCCTCTTTCTATGTACTCGACTTTGCTTGGCAATAACTGGTAAAGAACTGAGGAAAATAAGTTCAAAATTCTTAAAAATATTAACGGATAATATCAATATATTTGATGTTGACTTAATTTAAAATTAAAAGGTGAATTTGGTAATCAAGTACAGAAAAAATATTGGTATGTGTAGTGTTAAGTTATCAGATTTTTATTAACATTTTTGTTAAAAATTGGGTATAGTTTTTTAATATTAATATTATACAATGTGGTTGTAAGTATAATTTCGTGGTAAATCCTTTTTTTTTTCTTTTTTGGGTGGGTGTGTACGAGTGGGGTGACCCAACTGTACTGACTACTAAATACATTGAATATTTTTTTTTTCTTTTTAACTCATTGCAGAATTTTCTGATTAATTAAAATACATAAATTATGTTGGTAAATTTTTTTTGCTAATGAAATTATGTCGGTAAAATTATTGGGTAAGTTTGGTGACCCAACTCTTGACGGTCTATCGTCCATCGGATTCCACAGGATGCTTGATCGCTGGATCATAGCGCCTTCCGATGGTCAAAGTTCAAAGTATATTCTAGTAGCTTCCACTCTTTACTACAAGTGGGGTTTATTTTATGTTAAAACAAGGAAAAAAAGAAAACCACTTTCACAAGTGGGGTCACAAAAGAAAAACGAGGGTAAGTCCGTAAAACCAGCTGGGAGATACAATAGAATTTCCATCGCCACAAACATCTTGGAGGTCAATTGGCATATCCGCCGTCCACGTCATCAAAACTTTGCGTTTAAATCCCTTCAACGGTCCAGATAAGAGTATGCTTCCACAGTAATCGGGTTGGTTATTTTCGCTTACAAACTTTCCGCCAATATTATTTTCGCTTAAAGATTACCAATATTAATAAAAGTTTTGTTCAATTTTTTAGATTTTATTATAAGATTTTATAAATTATTACATAATTCTCCCAAAAAAACAAATAAATATAAAAGGAGACGGATATTTCCGGATGTCTGTCTGTCTGAATGCCGAAACACAACACAATCAATGAAAAGCAGCCCAGCTCAGCTAAGTCTTACCAGTAAACAACAGTGTACAAAATACTCTCTCTCTCCTTATCTGTAGCTTCTCCTTCTCTCTCTAAATCAGCCGGCGTCGCCAATCGCCATATCCAGATGGCTTCCTCAGCTCCTCCTCTATCCTCCCCGCAACGAAATCCCACCAAACAAACCTCCATTAACATTTAACCCCCTCTCTTCTCTCTCTCTCTCTCTCCTTCCCCTCCCTCTCTCTCTCTACAGAAATGGCGTCGACGCCACCTCACTGCTCAATCACGGCGTCGAAGCCGTACCAAAGCCACCAATACGCCCAAAACCCCAACCTCAAGAGCCACCATCGCCATAGCAATCACCGTCAAGGCCATCAATGGACGACTCAAAAGGTCTCCCTCACCAAACCCTCTCCCTCACCTCCTCCGGCTCGCAACGCCGCCGCCACACCAGCGCAGCATGCCTCCCAAAATCCCGCCTTTCACTCCCTCTGCTCTCTTCCGGCGCCGAAATCGGACCTCGCCGCCGTCTTCTCGGGTCGACGCTCGACCCGGTTCGTGTCCAAGATGCACTTGGGCCGGCCCAAGACCACCGTGGGCTCCCGCCACACTGCCGTCGCCGAGGAGGTCCTCCAACAAGCCATCCAATTTGGTAAGGATGATTTGGGAATTGATAATGTTTTGCTTAGTTTCGAGCCTAAGCTTTGTGGTTCAGATGATTACACTTTTTTGCTTAGAGAACTTGGGAATAGAGGCGAGTGTAGAAAGGCAATTAGGTGCTTTGAGTTCGCTGTGGCTAGGGAGAGAAGGAAGACTGAGCAGGGGAAATTAACTAGTGCTATGATTAGTACTCTTGGCAGGTTGGGGAAGGTTGAGCTTGCGAGGGATGTGTTCGAAACCGCTTTGTTTGCGGGGTATGGGAACACAGTTTATACCTATTCAGCGTTGATCAGTGCTTACGGGAGAAGTGGGTATTGGGAGGAGGCTAGAAGGGTGGTTGAGTCGATGAAAGATTCGGGCTTGAAGCCGAATTTGGTTACCTACAATGCCGTTATTGATGCGTGCGGTAAAGGGGGTGCGGAGTTCAAGAGGGTAGTGGAGATTTTTGATGAGATGTTGAGGAATGGCGTGCAGCCTGATCGGATTACGTATAACTCTCTCCTTGCAGTTTGCAGTCGAGGGGGACTGTGGGAGGCGGCTAGGAGTTTGTTTAGTGAGATGGTGGAGAGGCAGATTGATCAGGATATATATACATATAACACTCTTTTAGACGCAATTTGTAAAGGTGGGCAGATGGATTTGGCACGTCAGATTATGTCGGAAATGCCGTCGAAGAAAATCTTGCCTAATGTGGTGACTTACAGTACCATGATTGATGGCTATGCTAAAGCCGGTAGATTGGAAGACGCGTTGAACTTGTTTAACGAGATGAAGTATTTAGCTATTGGTCTAGATAGAGTTTTATATAACACATTGCTCTCGATTTATGCGAAGCTTGGTAGGTTTGAGGAGGCATTGAAGGTTTGCAAGGAGATGGAAAGTTCTGGAATCGTTAGGGATGTTGTATCTTATAATGCACTTCTGGGTGGGTATGGGAAGCAAGGCAAGTATGATGAAGTCAAAAGAATGTATCAAGATATGAAAGCGGATCATGTATCTCCCAACTTATTAACTTATTCAACATTGATTGATGTATATTCAAAGGGCGGTTTGTATAGGGAGGCGATGGAGGTGTTTAGAGAATTTAAGCAGGCCGGATTAAAGGCTGATGTTGTTCTTTATAGTGAACTTATCAATGCTTTGTGCAAAAACGGGATGGTGGAGTCTGCTGTTTCTTTGCTTGATGAGATGACAAAGGAAGGGATCATGCCCAATGTCATAACTTATAATTCTATAATTGATGCTTTTGGTCGCCCAGCAACAGCAGATTCTGCACTTGGTGCTGCCATAGGAGGAAATGAGCTAGAGACCGAGTTGTCATCTTCAATTTCTAATGAGAATGCCAACAAAAATAAGGCAGTAAATAAGGGGGATCACCAAATTATAAAGATGTTTGGGCAACTTGCTGCTGAGCAAGAAGGCCATACGAAGAAAGACAAGAAGATTAGACAGGAAATATTATGCATTTTAGGCGTCTTTCAGAAAATGCACGAGCTGAATATCAAACCAAATGTCGTTACTTTTTCTGCAATCTTAAATGCTTGCAGGTACATTTCCTTGCCTGATGCTTTTCCATTTTCAAATACATTTTGGATCTTGTTGCACGAGAGTCTTTATAGATAACTTATTCCTTTTGATCTCACTGAATGTATAGGTAATTTATAACCAGTCATTTTCTGTAAAATGCAGCCGTTGCAATTCATTTGAAGATGCTTCTATGTTATTGGAGGAACTCCGGTTATTTGATAATCAGGTCTATGGGGTTGCCCATGGACTTCTTATGGGACACCGGGAAAATGTCTGGCTTGAAGCTCAGTCTCTGTTCGATGAAGTAAAGCAGATGGACTCCTCCACTGCATCTGCTTTCTATAACGCTCTCACTGACATGCTCTGGCACTTCGGCCAGGTGAGTTTAGAGTGCTAGTGCCCTACCCTTTTCATGGGTTGGCTTCTTTATAATTACTCAAAAGATAGATCTTCAGAAAGAATCCAAAACTCTGTAATTTGATTTTATTAGAAACGAGGAGCCCAGCTGGTGGTGCTTGAAGGGAAACGCCGAAATGTGTGGGAGAGCGTATGGTCTAATTCGTTCTTAGATCTGCATTTGATGTCTTCCGGGGCTGCTCGGGCATTGCTTCACGCGTGGTTGCTCAACATACGCTCTGTAGTGTTTGAAGGCCAAGAATTACCTAGGCTATTGAGGTATACGGGATCTGCCAGAACTTTTGACTGTGTTTTGATGTGATTAAAAGCAAAAGAAGGTTAAACTTGGTGGTTTCTTTTGTTGCAGCATTTTGACAGGATGGGGCAAACACAGCAAAGTTGTTGGAGACAGCGCTCTTAGGCGAGCGATCGAATCGCTTCTGATCAGCATGGGTGCCCCATTTGAGGCTGCCAAGTGTAATCTTGGCAGGTTTACATCGCCGGGTCCCATGGTGGCTGGCTGGCTAAAAGAATCCGGCACTTTGAAGGTGCTTGTTCTTCATGACGACAGGAGTCATTCACAGAATGCTAAGCATGTCTCCAATTTGCAAACGCTTAATACCTTGTAGCCCTTTGTATCATCTTTTGTTGTATTCATCCTGTTTAGTATCTTTATATAATATAATGCAAAATCTTAGTTCATTCAAGTTATCTCATAATGGGTTGGATGTTGGATATCACACTACTCTCCCTTTCCCTGGATAGAAGCCGAGAATGTTTTTCACAAAACCGTTTATTATAAAACTTAACCAAAAAAAAAAAAAAAAAACTTAAGGAATCGCTCTGTCAATTGCTTTTAAGACATTTAACCACAAGAAACTGGAATTTACCAGTACCAACCGCCTTCATATGTTCTTATGGTACTGCTTTGTTCCCTTTCCTCGTCTCCCAAGTTTGTTTCATAGTTTGTCTACTATGACCAGCCCCAGAAACCTTATTCGTTGGGTTTTGTGCACGATGTGACTCTTGCTCGTTTTCTTGTGGACCCTCCAGAAACTTGGATATCAAGTTGTTATAAATTTTGCTCACGTGAATTCAGTGCTCAGTTATAGTAGATTGGCCGACTTCCTTAAATGTTTCAAACCGTTATGGAATTATTTTCTGCAAAGAGGTCAAACCACATTCCACCTTGACATATACGTAAACTAGTATTATAACTGCCAAATTTATGAAATAATCCATTTGTTTTGCTAATTATTCTCAGTTTGTTTTTTGTTTTTTTTCCCCCTCCTCCTGCAAGTGGCGAAAATTAACGTCCGTTAGTCCATTTACCTATGAGAAGCACTAAATGGAGTACTCCTTGAAATGAGGGGTACGCAAGCAGATTCATAGAGGTGAAGAGTGAAAATTAGGGGAAAAAAAAAAATGAGTGGTTGGATTTTGTAAAGGGGAAAAGACTATCAAGTTGTTTAGTACGGGAGAAAAGACGAGAAAACAAAAGGATCGCCAATTCACTCATTTTTTTATTATTATTTTAGTGAGATTTTTAGAGAGAGAAATTTGTTACAACTTGGATAAAAGTCGATTTATATTTTTGTCTTTATTTTCAAAGAACAAGAATGATAAACAATCAAGCAAAAAAAAAACAACAAGAATGATGGTAATTATTATTTGATAAAAAAAATCAGGTATTTAGCGACACTTCTTTCGTTCTCATTATATCAAATAATACAAAGGCAATTTCCAATATCTCCTTTTTGTTTTTGTTCTTTTTCCCCCTTACCAAATGGATTATTGGTTATAATTGTACATTGCGAATTGAGATGACTTAAATGAAATAAGGTGACACCAACTGGATAGTCTATAGAGCATACAATGCTTTCGATGAGAAATTGATAAGAGTGATCTTGTTTTTTCAGTACTAATCTCCAGTGCATCTAATATGCGATTGGCATATTGCCTTTTAGCGTGAAGCTTCTAGTGAAGTACACGAATGGACACTTTATACGCGTCCCAAGTTTATTTTTGTTATTTCTTCACTTTCTTGGCCGAGCTAGCTAGAATATGAGCCTTCTCTTTTTTCATCATTTCACATGTTTCCTTATTTAGCAATGTTTTATTTTATTTTATTTTAGCATTACAATTACCTACCAAGAGATAATTGACGACCACCATTAAGCCAGCCACATAGATAAAAAGTTGATGAACATACAAGAACACCGAAATGGGATATTGCACTGCGGCACTAGGAATCCAAAATCCCTAATATTGAGGCACGTTGTACTTGGATGGTAATGGAACCAAAATTGGTGGATATAAGCGTGTTAACAATATATGAACAAGATAGACCCTTTCTTTGACTAATTGAAATGTCAATGACACATCCTATGATTACATTGACACGTACAGTTTAGTTATGAAAGTAATCTCCCGGCGGCAGGGACTGCACTAACTCAGATGCATGAGTAGTGCAATTACAGGTAGCAGTAGCCATGCATGAGCCACTTGTACAAGCTTCAAAAGCCATTACGCTTTTGTGTGTCACTGGTTAGTGACATACTAGTCCTATAAATAGGATGCCGAACTAATACATTGGAGCATTACTAGTTGTTTTACTTGCTACTGTGATTCCTTCCCTTCTATAGTTTCAGGCTCTTCAAATTTCCTCGGTTTTGTGTTCTGAGAAACATGGGGGAGAGTACGGGAAACATTATGGGTGCAATTATCCTAGGAATGATGTTGATAACATCAACAGTAGCAGACGGCCAAAGAAAAGAAAAGCCTAATTGTTTTGGCAGGAATGACGGGAACGGAGGGGAAAACGTTTTTTTTGGAGAAAACGGTGCTATTGGTGCAGGTGGAGCGGTTGGTGGCGGCGCTGGAGGCAGAGTAGGTGGACAGGTTGGTGGTGGCATTGGAGGTGGAGTGGGTGCGGGTGGTGGTGCAGGGGCTGGAGGTGGAGCTGCTGGTGGCGGCATTGGAAGAGGTGTTGTTGAGGCTGGTGGTGGTGCTAGTACTGGCGCTGGAGGTGGAGTAGGCACAGGTGCTGACGTTGGTGCAGGAGGTGGAGTTGGTGCAGGCGGAGCTGCTGGTGGCGGTGTTGGAGGTAGAGTAGGTGGTGCTGGGGCTGGAGGTGGAGTTGGTGTAGGTGGTGGTGCAGGGGCTAGAGGTGGAGTTGGTGCAGGTGGAGCTGCTGGTGGCGGTGTTGGAGGGGGTGGTGCTGGAGCTGGTGGTGGGGTTGGTGCAGGCGGAGCTGCTGGTGGCGGAGTAGGTGCGGGTGGTGGGGCTGGAGCTGGTGGTGGTATTGGAGGTGGAGTTGGTGCAGGTGGAGTTGCTGGTGGTGGGGCTGGAGCTGGAGCTGGAGTAGGCACAGGTGGTGGTGTCGGTGTAGGTGGTGGTGCCGGTGCAAGAGGTGGAGTTGGTGCAGGTGGAGCTGCTGGTGGCGGTGTTGGAGGGAGAGTAGGTGGAGGGGGTGGTGCTGGAGCTGGTGGTGGTATTGGAGGTGGAGTTGGTGCAAGCGGAGCCGCTGGTGGTGGAGCTGGAGCTGGAGCTAGAGTAGGCACAGGTGGTGGTGTCGGTGCAGGTGGTGGTGCCGGTGCAGGTGGAGCTGCTGGTGGCGGTGTTGGAGGGAGAGTAGGTGGAGGGGGGGGTGCTGGAGCTGGTGGTGGTATTGGAGGTGGGGTTAGTGCAGGCGGAGCTACTGGTGGCGGAGTAGGTGCGGGTGGTGGGGCTGGAGCTGGTGGTGGTATTGGAGGTGGAGTTGGTGCAGGCGGAGCTGCTGGTGGTGGAGTAGGTGTAGGTAGTGGGGCTGGAGCTGGAGGTGGAGTAGGCACAGGTGGTGGTGTTGGTGCAGGAGGTGGAGCTGCTGGTGGCGGTGTTGGAGGGGGTAGTGCTGGAGCTGGTAGTGGTATTAGAGGTGGGGTTGGTGCAGGCGGAGCTGCTGGTGGTGGAGTAGGTGCGAGTGGTGGGGCTGGAGCTGGTGGTGGTATTGGAGGTGAAGTTGGTGCAGGCGGGGCTGCTGGTGGTGGGGCTGGAGCTGGAGCTGGAGTAGGCACAGGTGGTGGTGTCAGTACAGGTGCAGGAGGTGGAGTTGGTGCAGGTGGAGCTGCTGGTGGCGGTGTTGGAGGGAGAGTAGGTGGAGAGGGTGGTGCTGGAGCTGGTGGTGGTATTGGAGGTGGAGTTGGTGCAGGCGGAGCTGCTGGTGGCAGTGTTGGAGGTAGAGTAGGTGGAGGAGGTGGTGCTGGGGCTGGAGGTGGAGTTGGTGTAGGTGGTGGTGCAGGGGCTGGGGGTGGAGTTGGTGCAGGTGGAGCTGCTGGTGGCGGTGTTAGAGGGAGAATAGGTGGAGGGGGTGGTGCTGGAGCTGGTGGTGGTATTGGAGGTGGAGTAGGTGTTGGTGGTGCTGCTGGGGCAGGAGGTGGAGTTGGTGCAGGCGGAGCTGCTGGTGGCAGCGGTGGGGGTAGTGGTGCTGGGGCTGGAGGCAAAGTTGATGCAAGTGGTGGTGGTGCTGGAGGTGGAGGTGGAATTGGTGCAGGTGGTGGTATTGGAGGTAATATAGGTGGATGGGGTGGTGTTGGGGCTGGTGGAGTTGCCAGTGGAGGTGTTGGAGGTGGAGGAGGTGTGGGTGCAAGTGGTGGTGCGAATGTTGGTGCAGGTGGAGGACGTTGAATTCGACGTGTTCGAAATGGTTTATGAAATCAACAACATATGTTATCCTTAAAGTATTTATTAGGAGTGACATGAAAAATAAAGATAATTTAAGACATTGAGTTGCAATGCAACAATTAGTCTTTTTTCCCTTAGTGAGATTATATTATAAAAACAATTTGCTTTTATGTATTTGTTGTATCAAAGGCAATTTGTCTATAATAAAAGTAAAGAAATGATAGTTTTCTTATGATAGAGGGAATGAAAGAGAAGCTTGTAGTTATCTTTCTTATATCTTAATGTAGAATATAAAAAGTATGTATTTGTGGATATATTAGCATTAAGTTATAATAGTTAGGAAATTAAACAAGAAATTTAAACTTAAAATGAAAGAGAAAATAAGGTCAAACTCCATGAAGAGAAATGAGGCTCTAAGAGCAAATCTTTCTCGACTAAAAGAGTTGAGAGTGCTAACAAAACATAAAAAAACTTAGAGGATGTTTGGTAGAGGGATTCATTCCCTGATTCGAATCATGATTCGTGGTTCGCTACAGTATTTTTTCTCATAAAAAATTCACGTAAATCGAAAATGATTCGAATCACATGATTTGAATCCTCCAACCAAACGTTCTCTTATTACTCATTTACTTTGCGAGTTCAAATTATGTGGATTTGAACCTATATGTGCGTTTAATAGTGTTAGGTCTAAATAAAGAATAATGTTTGAACCAGTTTTTAATTACGTTCTTAAAACTATGGGGGTTTTTTTTTTTTAAAGAGTGAAAATAGTTAGTGGGACCTTTAGGTTGAGTTTTAAACACTAAAATGAATTAGAACCTTAAAAACTTAAAAAAGGGATAAAAAAAAATTTGAATTCAACCTTCAATTTTGAGTTCAAATAAACCTTAAATTCAAATTCAAGCTCAAAATGCTATGCAATCAAATAAGGCCCCGTTCACTTCGCTGATTCGAGTTTAGAATTCGAGTTTTTCTACAGTAAAAAGCTCTCACAAATAATCACATCTAACTTTTTTACTACAGTAAAAAACTCTCACATAAAATCACATCTCAACTCAAATTCTAAACTCGAATCAGCGAAGTGAACGAGAGATTTGAACCTAAAAGTTAGTTCAAACATGTCTAAACCCTCCAAACAAACAGACACTTAGGGCCTGTTCATTTCGCCGATTCGAGTTTGTAATTCGAGTTGAGATGTGATTTTATGTGAGAGCTTTTTACTGTAGCAAAAAAGTTAGATGTGATTGTTTGTGAGAGCTTTTTATTGTAGTAAAACTCAAATTCTAAACTCGAATTGGTGAAGTAAACGAGACCTTAATTAAGTTACTCGAGTTATTCGGGCCTTGTAAGTTGGATCTGGCCATCCAGGAGATATAGCCTAAAAGAAATGTAGAATGACGGCCTTTGGGCTTTCATAACGACTAAACGTTTAACCCATCTAATTAAAACCTTGGCCCATGTTCTTTCTAGCCGTGATACACGAGGAAATCACTACCGTACCACTTTTTTCATTATATTAAGGAAATACCATTTTTTTCCATTCAAACATTCCCTTTTAACATTTAAAATATATATATATATATATATATATATAAGAAGATGTTTCCCCATTCTCTAGTCTTAGAAGTGGTTTGCCCCGAATTGACGCCGTGATATCTCGTGTTTAATTGGGAAGGGGACGGGGGTATCAAGAGCGAAGGGCATATAAAGATTTATAGCCGTGTTTAGAATTGATTTTATTTTTTTTTTTTTTTATGTTTTTTGAGAAATAAAAAATAAAATATTTTCAAAATGACGTTTGGTGCAATAAAGATAAAAAATAAAAATGAAAACGATTTTTTTGATTTAGTGTAAAATAATAGAGAAATGAAAAACGACTTTTAGTTATTTTTTATTTTTTGTTTTCGTTTTCTCTTCTCTCGAGCAGAGAGAGATATTAATGAGTTTTTTATAGTGAAAATAATCTCTTGATAAAACTACCAAACAAATAAATGACGTTTGGTGCAATAAAGATAAAAAATAAAAATGAAAACGATTTTTTTGATTTAGTGTAAAATAATAGAGAAATGAAAAACGACTTTTAGTTATTTTTTATTTTTTGTTTTCGTTTTCTCTTCTCTCGAGCAGAGAGAGATATTAATGAGTTTTTTATAGTGAAAATAATCTCTTGATAAAACTACCAAACAAATTTTTTAAAAATGATTTTTGTCTGAGATTGAAAACGTTTTCATTTTTATTTTCATACAAAAAATAAAATTATTTTAAAACGAATTCTAGCCTAGCCTACCATTTTTTTTCCATTCAAACATTCCCTTTTAACATTTACATATATATATATATATATATATATAAAAGAAGATGTTTCCCCGTTCTCTAGTCTTAGAAGTGGACCAAGTGGTTTCCCCCGAATTGACGCCGCGATATCTCGTGTTTAATTGGGAGAAGGGACAGGGGTATTAAGAGCCAAGAGCCAAGGGGATATAAAGATTTATGTTTTTTTAATAAATATTCATATATTTCTGATTTTTATTTATTTTCCAAATAAATAAAAAAAAGCTATAATTCTAAGAAGAAAAAAATTTTGGCAGCACAAATTTAAAAAAAAAATTAATTAAAGGAGATATTTTTCCAAAATTTTTCATTTTATTTTAAATTATTGTTTAACAAAAACTTGTTAATTTTGATCGCTTTTAAATTTTTTAATTTTTTTTTCTTTTTATTAAATAATTCTCTTTTGGGATTTTAAAATATCAAACGAATTTTTTTCCCTTTTCCCGTTTCCAAACGTCTGTAATAAGATGACCTAGTTTTCCAAGGATCTATGGGCTTAGTTTTTCAAGGATCTATGGCCAGTTTAGTTCGCTGATTCAAATTTTTAATTTGAGTTGAGATGTGATTTTATGTGTGAGCTTTTTACTGTAGCAAAAAAGTTAGATGTGATTGTTTGTGAGAGCTTTTTACTGTAGTAAAACTCGAATTAGCGAAATGAACGGGGCCCTAGGTCTCGTTCATTTCGCTGATTTGAGTTTAGAATTTAAATTTTGTTACAGTAAAAATATCTCAGAAACAGTCACATCTAACTTTTTTACTACAGTAAAAAATTCTCACATAACGTCACATCTCAACTCAAATTAAAAACTCGAATCAGTGAACTAAACGAGTCATTTAAACTCATACACACGTCTATGAACTCTCTAAGAAAGCTGAAGGGAAAAAAAACATCTCCTTAATAAAGCTTAAGTTAAAAGCAAGTGCCGACCCCTAATAGAAAACCACAAAATCCTCATTTTTTTTGTTCCTGTAAAGTTTAAGGAGGATAAAATCTTTGTTTTTTATTCACAGGAAATCTATTTAATAGTATCATTTAGAGTTAGTACGAAATCCACACCTAATCCACCGACATGACGATTGAACCAATGAACCCCCACGCGTAGCACGCTATTTTACGATAATATTGCAAGATAATAAATTGAATAATATATGATATATATAAAAGAAGATGTTTCCCCGTTCTCTAGTCTTAGAAGTGGACCAAGTGGTTTCCCCCGAATTGACGCCGCGATATCTCGTGTTTAATTGGGAGAAGGGACAGGGGTATTAAGAGCCAAGAGCCAAGGGGATATAAAGATTTATGTTTTTTTAATAAATATTCATATATTTCTGATTTTTATTTATTTTCCAAATAAATAAAAAAAAGCTATAATTCTAAGAAGAAAAAAATTTTGGCAGCACAAATTTAAAAAAAAACTTAATTAAAGGAGATATTTTTCCAAAATTTTTCATTTTATTTTAAATTATTGTTTAACAAAAACTTGTTAATTTTGATCGCTTTTAAATTTTTTAATTTTTTTTTCTTTTTATTAAATAATTCTCTTTTGGGATTTTAAAATATCAAACGAATTTTTTTCCCTTTTCCCGTTTCCAAACGTCTGTAATAAGATGACCTAGTTTTCCAAGGATCTATGGGCTTAGTTTTTCAAGGATCTATGGCCAGTTTAGTTCGCTGATTCAAATTTTTAATTTGAGTTGAGATGTGATTTTATGTGTGAGCTTTTTACTGTAGCAAAAAAGTTAGATGTGATTGTTTGTGAGAGCTTTTTACTGTAGTAAAACTCGAATTAGCGAAATGAACGGGGCCCTAGGTCTCGTTCATTTCGCTGATTTGAGTTTAGAATTTAAATTTTGTTACAGTAAAAATATCTCAGAAACAGTCACATCTAACTTTTTTACTACAGTAAAAAATTCTCACATAACGTCACATCTCAACTCAAATTAAAAACTCGAATCAGTGAACTAAACGAGTCATTTAAACTCATACACACGTCTATGAACTCTCTAAGAAAGCTGAAGGGAAAAAAAACATCTCCTTAATAAAGCTTAAGTTAAAAGCAAGTGCCGACCCCTAATAGAAAACCACAAAATCCTCATTTTTTTTGTTCCTGTAAAGTTTAAGGAGGATAAAATCTTTGTTTTTTATTCACAGGAAATCTATTTAATAGTATCATTTAGAGTTAGTACGAAATCCACACCTAATCCACCGACATGACGATTGAACCAATGAACCCCCACGCGTAGCACGCTATTTTACGATAATATTGCAAGATAATAAATTGAATAATATATGTAATCCAACCAAACAAAGAGAGGTTAAGTAAATATATCATGTTTTAATTTTAATTTTTCTTCTCTTTTTGTTGCTCGTTAGTTTGACTTTCATATTGCAGTTTGTTCTAGATATATATATATATATGTATATATATATATATATATAAAAGAGAGTTTGTTCTAGATTTATGTGAGTTGAAGTTTGACCCCTTTTATTTTGCCTTTGAACAAAGGCCGATTGTCCAAAAAATTCGGCCAAACCTACTTCACTCTCATCAGATAAAAAAAGAATAGTTATGGAAAGGAGTTTGTATTCCTCAAGAAACTAAAAAAGTGGGAACAAAATATACCAAAGTATTCTCGATTTAGAATTATGATTTAAAATTATTCTCGATTTACGTGTATTTTTTATGTGAGAAAATATTATAGTAAACCACGAATCATAATTCGAATCATGGCACGAATATACTAACCAAACGCAAGATGATTCAAGTCATACAATCTGCTAGAATTTTTTAAACAAACCAATCACTAGACTCCACCGTAAAAAATATACAAAAATGCTAATTATTTAAAGTACTATGGATTAAAGCAATTTCAGATTCTGAAAGAAAGAATATAATTTCGCCAAGCTTTGCTTTTGAAGGTATTGATCATGAAATATTAAAAGGAACCACGTATCAACAGAATGTTGAGAATATTAAAGAATTTAAATTGAGCTTCTCTTTCCCGTCAATAATTAAAGTGGAGAATATTTTGAAACATTCATTGTTGGTGGTCCAAAGAGTATTAAGTATCATATATAGAAACAAACAAAATTAATTGGCGCATTTAGAGATTGGAAAAGTCATTTAGAGATTAGAGAAATTTTATATCCCCATTGTTTTAGGAAATTGTGATGTAATATATAAAATAAGGCACTCCAATTAATGGACCAAATCTGAACTCAAATCCCTTAATTTTCTATTGATGAGATTACACAAGATAATTGGTGGCTCTTGCTATAATGACTCTAACTATGTGGCTGATACTTAACTATATAATCTTGATAAGTGTCTACTTAGAAGAAAGTTTAAACTTTTTTTTTTTTCTAATCTTGACACGTGTCTACTTAAAAGAAAATTTTAATTTTTTTTCTTTTTTAATCTTGACAAGTGTCCGCTATATAATCTTGATAAGTGTCTACTTAGAAGAAAGTTTAAACTTTTTTTCTTTTCTAATCTTGACACGTGTCTACTTAAAAGAAAATTTTAATTTTTTTTCTTTTTTAATCTTGACAAGTGTCCATTATATGTGAATTCTTCTGCATCTATATATTATCTGATAAAACGAGTATTACACTTATTTAGTGACGAAAAATAGAAAAGGTGGATTGAGAATATTCTTCAATATTATGTCACTCAAATTTAATCCGAGGAATTATTTGAAGTAATGAACAGACAAATGTGTAAAGCCGATATAAACTAGCTAATTTTTTCATCATTGATTGTGGCGTCTATATTATACTAAGGTTTTTACTTCCATATAATCAACGGATCGAAGTTTCTATTCAAGCCTGATTTTAAATCGATCTTAGAGACTTTTTTAATTCGGGTTTCGTCAGTTTCTTAGCGGGGTTCATATCAAATTTTTCGCTCTATAAATACCTGTATATACTCCTCCCCTTTCATCCAATGCAAGCAAGCAAGTAAACAAAGTTACAAAACATACCTGAAACTACCTTTGTGAATTGCACTTTCTAGAGTCTTTCTTCAGCACTTGTTTCAAACCAACTATTCTTCTCAGTGATTTTATTTCTCTTTCGAAAGCTCCCATATTTGCCAACTGAATCACAGACTTGTATACTCAATTCTAGCGTGGTATACAGCTTCTTGTTATAGAAGGCGGAGAATCATACACTTTCAGTACATTATCCAAACTCTTCTACAACTTTCCTTTATAAAACTATAATATTTTCAATTTATAAGCTTTGATGTCTGTGATTGCACTTCTAATACACTGATCCTTTTGCCCCTACAATATCATCCATTCTCAACTTTGGTTTTTTTTTCCTCGTCACCTTCATTCTTGTTCAACTTTCTTGTAAAAAACTCTGTTTTCCTCTGGTTTGATCTTTCAGTACATATCAAAAACTCTTTGATAACCTTTTTTTTTAATAAAAAAAAGAAAAAGACAGTGACCCTTTCCCCCCTACAACATCATCCATTCCAAACATGAGTTCTTCTTAACATCCTTCATTAAGGCCTTAAATTTCAGCTTTGCCATTTTTCTTCCATCAACTCTGCTTAACATCATAACTCCTCTGTTTTCCTCTTGTTTACTCTGTTATGGCACCTAAAAACGATCCCATCAATACAGTCCTCAATTTGTTCAGATCAAAGAAGCTAGAAAATTACTTCGATTTATCTAATGGCAAGTTGAGCATCCAAGGCGTCCCGTTGCTCTCAGAAGTCCCAAACAACGTGAGTTTCAGCACTTTTGACTCCATCTGCCAATCCTCCGACGCCCCGCTTCGCCTGCTTCAGCGCGTCCGGTCTCTGTCCCACAAAGGCGGCTTCCTCGGATTCTCCACCGATGAATCATCCGACAGGTTGGTGAACTCCCTTGGAAAATTCACCAACAGAGATTTCCTCAGCATCTTCAGGTTCAAAACATGGTGGTCCACCATGTGGGTTGGGAACTCTGGCTCTGACCTGCAAATGGAAACTCAATGGCTGCTCTTTGATGTCCCAGAGATCAATTCTTATGTCATAATCATACCAATCATTGAAGCCTGTTTCAGGTAAGGATGAAATTTTGTATAACTTTTACACGTCCAAATGTATTTTGAGTATCGACATTTTCATGGATACTGATATTTTCATCCTTGGTTTCAGGTCCGCCCTTCATCCGGGCGATGAGGGGCGCGTCATGATCTGCGCCGAGAGTGGGTCTTCACAGGTGAAGGCGTCGAGTTTCGAGGCCATAGCTTATGTTCATGCTTCTGATAATCCTTACAACTTGATGAGAGAGGCCTATAGTGCTTTGAGGGTTCACCTCAACACTTTCAGGCTTTTGGAAGAGAAGCAAGTCCCAAACTTGGTTGACAAGTTCGGTTGGTGCACTTGGGATGCTTTCTACTTGACTGTGGAGCCATCTGGTGTCTTCCATGGCCTTAAAGAGTTTTCCGAAGAAGGCGGACTTTCGCCGCGGTTTCTCATCATAGACGACGGCTGGCAAAGCATCAACAATGATGGCCAAGACCCCAATGAGGACACAAAGAATTTAGTCCTTGGAGGGACTCAAATGATTGCAAGGCTTTATAGGTTTAAGGAGTGTAAGAAGTTTGAGAGCTACAAAGGAGGGTCTTTGTTGGAGAATAATAATAACTCTCCAACATTTGACCCCAAAAAGCCTAAAATGCTCATCTCAAAGGCTATTGAGATAGAACATGCTGAGAAGGAGCTCGACAAGGCGATCCAATCAGGAGTTTCGGATGATTCCGAGCTCGAGGCCAAAATTCAGAAGCTAAAACAAGAGTTGGATGAGATATTTGGCGGGGAAGAAAATGGTGGTGAGGCTTTAGGTGAAGGCTGCTCTGAAGACTTTGGAATGAAGGCTTTCACTAGGGATTTGAGGACCAAGTTTAAGGGGTTGGATGATATTTATGTGTGGCATGCTCTTTGTGGGGCTTGGGGTGGTGTGAGACCAGGCTCAACTCATCTGTATTCAAAGATAACTCCTTGCAAACTCTCGCCGGGTCTTGACGGGACAATGAATGACCTTGCTGTGGTGAAGATTGTTGAAGGTGGGATTGGACTCGTTCACCCTGATCAGGCTGATGACTTTTATGACTCTATGCACTCTTACCTCTCCCAAGTTGGCATAACTGGAGTCAAAGTTGATGTCATTCATGTAAGTGAAAAATCACACTTGCAATTTTTTTTTTTTTTTTTTTTTTTTTTTTTTTTTTTTTTTTTTGTGGATATGTAAATGGATATATAAATATAAATATATACACATATATTTTGCAGACTCTGGAATATGTGTCTGAAGAATATGGAGGAAGAGTCGAGCTTGCAAAGGCTTATTACAAGGGGCTTACCAATTCTCTTCTGAAGAACTTCAATGGGAGTGGACTTATTTCTAGCATGCAACAGTGCAATGACTTCTTCTTCCTTGGGACAAAGCAAATTTCTATGGGAAGAGTTGGTAATAAGAAAAAAATAATCTAGTGCAATTACTTGATATTTTTTTTATTAATCTCTCTCTCTGTCTCTCTCTTTTTATTTTTATTATTTATTTATTTATTATTTTTTTTGTAGGAGATGATTTTTGGTTCCAGGATCCAAATGGAGACCCCATGGGGGTTTATTGGTTACAAGGGGTTCACATGATTCACTGTGCCTACAACAGCATGTGGATAGGTCAGATGATACAGCCAGATTGGGACATGTTCCAATCAGACCATTTATGTGCCAAGTTTCATGCAGGATCAAGGGCTATCTGTGGTGGTCCTGTTTATGTGAGTGACTCAGTTGGGGGTCATGATTTTGATCTCCTAAAGAAGCTGGTTTACCCTGATGGAACCATTCCCAAGTGCCACCACTTTGCCCTCCCAACTAGAGACTGCCTCTTCAAGAACCCTTTGTTTGACAAGCAGACTGTTCTTAAGATTTGGAACTTCAACAAGGTACAAAAAGCTTCTGCCTCTTTATTACCTTTTTTAGCATTCTATGATCTTAATGTTGATGTGCCAAAACCCCCCAACCCCAAAAGGCAAAAAAAAAAAAAAAGAGTGATTTTTTAATACAAATCTGACAATTTAGAACCGTGCAATATCGACAAGTATTTTTCATACCCAATCAAAGAATTATTCATTTCCTTTTCTGGGGTTGTTTTAGTTAGTGTTTTTGAAGTTATCAAATGACTAATTTATTGCAATATTGAAATAGTATGGAGGCGTGATTGGTGCTTTCAACTGCCAAGGAGCTGGTTGGAACCCAAAGGAACAAAGGATCGAAGGCCATCCTGAGTGCTACAAGCCAATGTGTGGCTCAGTCCACGTCTCTGAGATTGAGTGGGACCAAAAAGAAGAGGCAAGTGAGTTTGGTAAGGCTGAAGAATATGTGGTCTACCTCAACCAGGCAGAAGAGCTACATCTAATGACCCCAAAATCTCATGCAATTCAGTTCAGCATTAAACCATCTGCCTTTGAGATTTTCAGCTTTGTGCCAATTAGGAAGCTCGGGAAAAGCATAAAGTTTGCCCCAATTGGTCTCACCAACATGTTCAATTGTGGTGGCACCATCCAAGAGCTGGACTACAAGGCCTCTGGATCAGAATTTGGTGCAGATGTCAAGGTCAAAGGTGGTGGGAGCTTCTTGGCTTACTCAAGTGGGGCCCCCAAAAGGTGTCTGTTGAATGGTGCTGAGGTGGACTTTGAGTGGGCCACTAGTGCAAAGCTGACCTTGAATCTTCCTTGGGTTGAAGAGGCCAATGGTGTTTCTAATGTCGTTTTTCTCTTTTGATTGGCTTCATTTGTGATTGTCTAGAGTCACGGTGAAGAATCTGAGTATACCATGGCAATAAGGAATTTAGGGCGTTTGGTATGAGAATTCATGTCATGGTTCGAATCATAGTTCGTAACTTGTTATAGTGTTTTTTCTCATAAAAAACACACATAAATCGAAAATGATTCTAAATTATGGTTCTGAATCCGTGAATCTGTCCACTTATTTACCTGTTTCTATTAGCTTGTGGGAGGTTTAGAAATCTCCACAATATTTGGACTTATTGTAGTCTAGGGAAGAATGTATCTCCATTCATCCCATTATAATTAACCTAAAGTACATAATTGTAATATATAATTAAAGAGTTAACTCTCTCCCTAATTTCCTCTTTAACTTACCATTTCTATTGTAAAATTATTAAAAAAGTATTGTTAAGTCTCTCTAATTTCCTCTTTACCTTTTCTCTGTGACCAAAAGGCATAAAATGTTATTAACAAGTAGCGGATCAATATTTTATTTCAAAAATAAAAATAAAGAAAGGAGAGCTTTTGTCATTCCAATTTCAACACTTGAATGGTTTGGGAATTGAAACTATTATATATCCGTATAGGCGTGGAGCTATGAAATTTTCTTTGTTTTCCTCATGAAATAAAATTAAAATTCTTTCAACACAAAATTTTACATAATAACTTTTGAGTGAGCATGCAAAAAGTGCAGCAAAACAGCAGAGAGGTCAAAATGGAGTTGAGTACTACTTTGAGAAAAGGCCAAGTACCAACTAGGTAGCCGAGAAACTTCGAACTCAAATCTATATATAATGACAAACATAAGTTATATCATAGAAGAGTAATTTACCCCTATAACATATATTAATAGTTGTTCCAATTCCACCGCCAGAGCATGATCTAATAATTATTAATGAGACAAATTCGTGGTTGTACCTACAGACGACAAAAAGAAGCCACCTTTTAATAAGCAATTACAGTTCAATTTTTCACGCCACGATAATTAATTGATTGTCTGATGCATGGATGATGAGATCTAAAGCACCAAGGAAAAGATCACGAGGATTTCTAATATAAGTGGGGGCCATGGCAAACGCTAGAATCTCCACGTACGAGAAGTTTCTGCTTTATGTTTTTAATAGGGATCAGTAATTAATTGAGTTTTTAACTTTCACTCCTAAAGCAGCCCTAAAGATTTTAATTGTTTGCCTTGTGTTTAAATATTTATGTTAATGTAATGTAATCATGGTGAATTGTATAAGTTCCGTTTACTTCACTGATTTAAATTTTTAATTTGAGTTGAGATGTGATTTTATATGAGAACTTTTTATTGTAGTAAAAAAGTTAGATATGACTGTTTCTGAGAGTTTTTTTACTATAACAAAACTTAAACTCTAAACTCGAATCAGTGAAATGAACGAAAAAGTTACTTTTTCGACATTTGTTTAGTTCATTAATTTAAATTTTTAATTTGAATTAAGATGTAATTTTATATGAGAAATTTTTACTGTAGTAAAAAAATTAAATATAATTATTTTGAGAATTTTTTACTGTAATAAAACTCAAATTAATTAAATAAACGAGACCGAAATAATTCAATTATTCAATATATAAACGTTGCAAATTTCTTTTTCATCAAAACAGAATCAGTCCTCTTGCCAGGTGTTAGAGCATGAAAATACACGTGGATCCAAGCTGTCTGATGTGGATATTATGGCAGCTTCACGATACGTGTCATATTTCTCGTGGGGACACTTCAAATTTCAACGTTTTAATTATTAAAAAAAAAAAAAAAAAGAACTAGCTAGACACCAACAATATGAACCTACTCCTACATCATCTTAACGAAATCACAAAATTCTTGACTTCATCTCAGACAGACATCTTTTCGATTCCGTGAAAAGGAATATATAACAGCGGATATTGTATTCTAGAGGATTTTAGAAAATAAGATGCATATATATTTATATATATATATATAAAGTCTCTAATTTGATATTAAATTAGAGCGATACATATATATATTTTTAAAAAATATATATATTTAAATAATTATAAATGTCTCTTCATATTATATATATTTTTTAAAAAATATAAATATTTTTAAAAATATATATATACCGCTTTAATTAGGTGTTGATGAGAAATAATTTCTATATATGTGTGTAAATGGAAGGTTCTTTCACATCAAAAAGTATACACCTGTGCGGCAACAATGTTGGTGTCGGCTCTTCACCCCCTTGTCAATTCTCCTAGGAAACAAACAAAAAGTGCAGGGTTTAATTATCCAAACGGAAAGATAAACTTTAATATCTTTAAGGCTTTATTAAAAAGAAAATAATATCTTAAGATAGATTAGAAAAAAAGGATTGAAATCTTCCAAAGAATTTTAAATAAAAATCATTCATAGACTTTCAATTTTAATTCTTTTAGGTGAAAGAATCGAATAAGGAACTTTAAAAAACAAATATATATATTTCTTTCTTACCAGAGAGTCTTACGCAAGGAAAATCCAAGTAGCTGGAGAATGAAACAAGAGAAAGTGAGACGGTGACGGGTGATTTGTTGGTGAAGACTAAAGACGCGTACATTTTTGTATGAGCATTATCTGGTGGCTTTTTGGTCGGCCCAATATCGTAAGTGCCACATTGTAAATACCAACAAACCTAGTTAACCACTCACACACATCACACATACAGAGAAAAATATTCGATAAAGACGAGTACTGTTTTACCCAAAGTGAGTCATAATTGACCAACAACTGTCGGTATAAAATTAATAACGGAGAACACGTTTATTTTATCGATTTAAATTTAAAATTTAAAATTTATTATTGTAAATTTTTTTTTAAAAATAATTACATTTTATTTTTTATTATAATAAAAAATCCTCATATAAAGTTAAATTTCGACTCAAATTAAAAATTTAAATTAACGAACTAAACCGGTCCTAACTAATTTAACTAACCGGTGATTTGTGTCTTTGATTGATAGATATACATATTCTTGCCCTTTTAGAGGAATAATAATCAGTAATACATTTTTCATAATTTTGACCACATGAAGATATCTTTTGGAAGATTTGCCACAATAGTGATTTGGATTACGTCTAATTTAATGCGTGTTGTGATTACGTTTTCATTTACGATGCATGCAAGCGTGAAAACTATCACATACATGCATTACGGGTCATGAATCTTTTGTAAGGATTTTTTTTTTTAGCTTGTGACTAATACTATCCGTTCGTTTCACCAAGTAGCTAGATTATTTGTATCTTTGGAATCTGACCCAGAAAATAAACTCTCAAAAATTTTAAAATAGAAAAATTAGTTTCTCTTTAAGCAAGATTATTAAAGACGCTTGCACACGACATAACTAACATAACTCTGTAAAAATTTGTTGGTGCTTAAAACGCATGATCAAGCTCAGAGAAAACTTTCAATTGCAAGGCAAGCTCTGATATAAATCTTAAAAACGGCGTTTGATAAAACATATTTTTCGACAATATTAATTTAAAAGAATTAAAAAATTTGACAAGAATTTAAAAATATTAGTGCGTTTAGTTGATAAATTCGTACTATTATTTAAATAATAATTTGTGGTTCGTTACAGTATTTTTTCTCATAAAAATATACGTAAATCGATAATGATTTTGAATCATAATTCTAAATTTATGAACCAAACTAATAGAGAGTATCATTTCTGCATATTTTTTACTGAAACTTTATTTATCTTTTATTTTTTTGGCTGAAATTTGATCGTACGTTTGTTTGGACCTTTCTTCGTTTATCTAGCTGACGTGACCTTTATATTATTTCCATATGTACTATTCTTTGTTCGCAACTTTATTTTGTGTGTGTTTCTAGTATAATTTTCATTTACTTGCTTTATGTCGTTGGTTTCAGATAATGTCGTTAGGTTACTGTCCTTTCCTAATTCGTGAACTTCTATCTTCTTGTTTTGTCATTTTTCTCCACGTTATCGATTTAGGTATTATTATTGTCGTTTGCCATGACTGTTTATTTTGTAGTTTTTGTTGATATCCAACATCTCAATTTGCGGTTATCGTTTCTCAATTTCATGTTGTTTTCACGCTATTGTCATTTCAATTGATGTCGTTTAGTAGATCAATAATGATCGTTTGTCAATTTCGTGTGTTTTTAGCTATTGTTGTGAGTCCTGTGACGGACTTACGGGTCACGTCATTTTGCCTTTACTGTCGGCTTTGCTTCATGTCGTTTTTAAGTTGTCTCCCTTGCCTTTACTGCCCGCTTTGCTTCACGTCATTTTTAAGTTGTCTCCCAATCTTGTCACTTGTGTTGTTTTCCAATTTCATGCCTTATTTCTAAGTTGTTGTCGTCTCCCAGTTTGTTCTTTTCCACTTCAATGTTTTCAGTTTTTCTTTTGGTTCATGTCGGTTTCAGTCCTAGTTACTAATTTTCCTTTTTCTTGTCGCTTTTAAGTTTCTTGGGGTTTTTATTTATTGTTGTTTCAGTTCATGTCGTTTTTCAGTTACCCTGCCCAAATTAACGTCGTTTTCCAATGAATGTCATTTCTCGTTATCATCGCTTCTGATGAAGTAGTTCTTGATGTTGTAGTTGTTTCCCAATTTTGTCATTCTGCAACATATCGACCTCGTTCAATTCGCGAATTCGAGTTTTCAATTCGAGCTAAGATGTGACATTTTTTAAGAGCTTTTCACTGTAGCAAAAAAAAATTAGATGTGACATTTTCTAAAAGCTTTTTACTGTAGAAACTTAAAACTGAAAACTTGAATCGATGAAATGAACGAAGCCGTCGTTTTCCAATTTGAGGTCGCATCAGAGGTGCTTGATTTTCTCTGGAATACTATTGTCCATCCTTTGAAATCAAGTGCAAAAACTGTATACGCAGAATATTGAGGTCCTGACTCCGGTGGATGAACTATGGTAGGGATAATTAAAAAAAAAAAAACAACTAAACTTAAAATTAGTACATATTAAGCAAATACTGATAATTAATGTGTTTAATTTGTGATTTTATGAAACCAGATTTATTAAATCTTGTCACAGGGTAATCCAAAAAAAAAAATCGAGATTATCAAATTCGGTCATTAAATAAATACGAAAAATCATGAATCTATCAAATTTGATCATAAATTTTACCAAACCTGATCACAAAATTTATCAAATTTGTTCGTAGAATCACTACAATAAAAAAGGCTATATATTTACCTCCTAAAACAAATGTGAAAAATGCGCTTTCGTCGACAAAAATAGCTGGCTGGTATTGCCTTGAGCTTGGGTTGTTCTAACTGTTAGAAATCAAAGATTTGGTGAAAACCACCACTCAAAAGTCAAGAACATTCATGTTAGATCATCAAGAATTA